TCAAACCGAAACAGCTGACACTGATGGAAATGTCATATTTAGTCCGAAATTAGAAAACTGGATACATTTTCAATTCTGACTACATTATTAAATGTGAATCTGAGGCTGATGCGACAGATCATTTAATGTATTGGTACTAATATTAAGCAATGGCATTTACCTTCACCATTTCATTTGTCTACCATGTCATCCATTCTGTTATCTTTTTCTCGACAGCCCTCATTGTTGATGTCCTGACTGTGGCTGGCGTCCAGAGACTGGTGAAGCGCAGAGGACCCTGGGAGATGATGCCGAGCTTGTTGGACTGCGTTGCCATGGACCTCTACTCCTTCCCAGCTGCTCACGCTAGCCGGGCCGCCATGGTTTCCAAGTTCCTGCTGTCTCACCTGGTCCTGGCTGTGCCGCTACGCATCCTGCTCGTGCTGTGGGCCGTTCTGGTGGGCATGTCCCGTGTGCTGCTGGGAAAACACCACCTAACTGATATGGTGTGCGGCTTCGCGCTGGGGCTGCTCCACTTCAGCTTGATGGAGACAGTTTGGCTCTCATCAAGCACCTGTCAGACTATTATTTCTATCGGCACGTTCAGCTGGAGCCCTTTTTTCTGAGTTTTTGATATAATTCTATGCTAGCGCTCAAGGCTAATTTGATACACTAATCTCACAGTTATAAGGACTCAGGTGAAGTTTTTTTTGCAAGCTCCAAAGTTCTTATCGCAGGGTGTGACCTGAACATTTAGATTTTTGGAATCAAAGGCTGGCTTGCATGTAACACCCAGGACAGGCATGTCACAAAACATCATAATGTAACTTCATAATGCTTTACAAATCCTAGTATCTGCAATCAAACCTACTAAAACACACTTCTATATCTGCTTAATTTCAAATAAGTCCTTATATTAATGCAACAATTCAGACTTTTTGACTGGTCAAATTGCACATGTAGGATTTTGTTTCTCTTTTTTTTTTATACTCATGCAGTATGAAAACTTGTATAATTGCAACTCTTTCTATTCAACAAATTCTCTCTTGAGTCTGTGTGCCTCTTCCTCCTTGCCATTTTACTTCCTTTTACTTCCTCCTTCCCTGCTACCTCTTTCTCTTTTCTCATTTGTTCTTAATAATTGTGCTTTTATTTTGAAATAGTGATATGCTTTAACCGTGTTGGACACTGATTAGCTTGGTGTAAGGCTTTAATATTGAATGTAACAATAACATATATAAAGTGATGGTTGTTTGGATATTTTGATAATTGTTTCTGATTGGCATGACTATGGGATTCTGTTTTAACTAAATGTTGATTCAACTAATTTCGATACCTCTGAATTGATCTGCTTGTGTAAAATGAATGACACCATTTTTGCAACTATAACTTTTTACGTGCCATTTATGATTTACTGAGTCTAACCCTCTTTTTGTTTCCTAGCAGATATTTTCTCACTTCTGTACATCAGCCTAACACATGCTAATGCAGTGATGCTAATTATATGCCCATAAAACGAATGAATTAACACATTTTCTCTCTTTTTCAAATGTGTTTTTGTATGGACCTTGAATAAAACCTGCTGTTTTTTGTGAGAAACTTTTAATTGGTTTGGTGTGTAAATACAGTTTTGTCTACATTAGTTTGCTTTGTTCTGTACAGAGATCTGTCCGGTTTTTACTTTGTACTTTTTCCATCTCATTAATAAAACAAGGTGGGCTCTCAGTAAAATGTGGATGCCTCTGTGTTTTATTATTTTGACATGAGAACATTAAGAAGAAGAAGTTTGTTTTTATATTGATTTTCAGGATGAATAATGTGGATGTTTGGTGTTGCCATGCATCTGTCCACCTGGAATACTCAACATTAACAAAACAAGGTTATGCAAATATTTTAGATTGAAATTTTGGTGAAACTGTGAGCCAAATAGATTGAGGAAAAATACATTAAACTGTATTTAGTGATTGTTTCTGAATCCTAAAGGAAGCTTAACTACCTATATATAAAGTGGCTATCCAAAAAAATGTGTTTTACCCACTTCAATAATCACATGTACCCTCAGTTATCACATGGTCTAGAACTTGGTCAGCAAAATAATAAGGAAGTGTGAAACCATAAGTGTTGGGACAGCTCTCCCATGGTCAATAGTATATACTTAAGGGGGGGACGCATACAAATGTATCCTACTTATTGCACAGAGAAATACATACTAAAAAACAAATGAAAAGATCCTCTATTAAATCTCAGAAGATCCAGTGCAACTAAATAACCACAAAAGTGCTCTGTGCAGTTTGAGAAAAAGGGGTTCACTTATTTGACATAAGTCTTGAGTTGTTTTATTAACATATACTGAGTTTGTCAGTCTAATGGTGCATTCCTGTCATGTTTGACCATAGTGTACTGGAATGAGAGAGACTACAATGTTTTGATGTAACTATTTTCTAATATTAAGGCTGGTTTCCTGTCAGCTGACTTAAGCCACAACACGCTTTGACAGGAAACACACCATTGCAATGTGTGTGCCCTAAAACTGTTGAAAAAGCAGGAACAGAAACTGCTTTTAAAATCATCTCTTGCAGAAAGAGTTAGAAGGAAAGAGCTTCAGCAGTCAGAGATTTGTATGTGTTACCTAGTTTTGTATGCTTTGTTAGACATCACAAGCACAACTCATCCTTAATAAGAAACTGTTTTGGGTTCAACATTTTAAAAAAGCAGAGAGAAGATGGGATTTTGCCCTCAGCATAATGCTGATCTAATCATTTGTGAGGCTTGGACACTAAGTTAAGCTACCACAAACACAGGGTGTCTCTTGAGAATCAGGTTCAGATGAATTTGTGTTAATATTTATCAATACCACAATAAATACAAATATATCTGCACCTTAAGATTGATGAATATTTTGAATAAAAGTCAGTAATCAAGCTGCAGTCACTTGAACCCATGGTATATGATGACTCTTTCTCTGTAGTTGCTAAAGGTGAAATAGTTTGCTGTCTTGTCATTACCATGCATTTAATTACAGCTTCATATAGGAGGATTTTCTTATAGCAATTCATGAGCAACGTCACCAAACTAGAGCTTGTCCCAGTGCAGGTTTGTTTGATGTTGCACCAGAATATAGGCCTCCACAACCCTGCATACATAACACGTACCCACAATACCCCTGTGAGTAAGCGCTGATAGTGCTTACAGGTCTGTTTCTGCAGGGTTCACATGAACAGGCTGAACAGACCACACCACACTTCCTACTGTTGTGTCTCTTTGCTCTCTTTGAGACCTGCTCTAAAGAAACAATAGACACCACAACGCTCCAGCAGCTACTGACTTCTGTGTATCATCAAGGTATTAACTCATGTTATAATGACAAACAGGTATTCTGAGGATCGTCAGGGACATTTGCATTTTCCCATCTTCCTAAAATATTCAGAAATGTTCCTTCATTCGTACAATAAGCTATTCACCCTTAAAAGCTTTGCAAGTTAAATAGTCCCTGGACTGCAACATAGCTCCATTAAAATGTCATTAACTTACAAGAAATTGTTTTTTGTCAAAGTGGTGGAGGGAGTTATGTGTTTGGACTAGCATGCATCACAGGGTCGCTTTTAAGTGCATTCATTGTGTTGATATTTCATGTTTTGTTGTTTCTAGTTCAACTTTTACAATGTGAATTGTACTAAACATTTGCATGAGTAACTTGATATATTTCATACAGTATTGGGTGGATCAGGTGGAGATAACATATTTGCAGCCATTTGAAACAAATGGTTGAAGAAGGGTGGGACAAGTGCTCCCTCTAGGGGTCAGCTTGTCTTGACTCATGAGCACTAAGTTTTGTAAATATATTGGGGTTTTTTTGTAATAAGGACTCAAAGCAGCACAAACTATGTAAACATGTTTAACATAGCAGACTGTGACATGTGAATATCAGCCAAATAAAAAAAATTATGAAGACATTTAATTGAATCTGGCCACTGTGTCTGTTGTTCTATCTTTCAGTATTCCTCATCTCCTTGTTTTGCTGATTGTCTGATTTAATTCCTTCAATTATTTTATATAATTTTGTCCTACTGTATGATATATTTTAAAAATTGAAAATCTCTTTCAGCACAAGTTATCATAATTATGTTCCCTTTACAGACATATTTTCTGTGAAGGGAAGCAGCATGTTATGTTGATTTTATTTTAATGCTCATAAAGGGATTTAGGCTTGGAGGCTTTTTTAATAAGAAGAACGGTATAAAATCAGATTCAGAATATGAATCCAAACTATAACACTTATGTGAATGTAAACACACTCTGACATAGTTTAAGTCACTTTTAAGGCTCTTTAGCTTTATTGAGTTTCTGATTTGCTGAGTTAATTTCTCTATGTACATATTTACAATATATTAACATATAGTGTAATGTATTCCTCACATATATTTTAATTGACAGGGTATGCATGATGTACATGCATGATTAAGTTGTGAGTGTTATTAAAGTAAATTATAGGCTGCAATCAGATGTTGAAAGAGCACTAAATGTAAGCTATTTTACCATGAGAGTGAAGATTCTTATAATTGTGTACAGTTACTTTGTGGACGCTGTATCAGAAAAATTATCTTTGAAGCAGTCTACGCTAATTTATCTATAGATAAATTAAAGATAACACTGCAGATACCCTGCAGAAGCCCATTCCAGCGTCTGCAGGATATACACCCGCTCATGTTATAATCACTGGGTGCTCCCTTTTTGATCCAATGTTACTTTTTTATGTCTGCAATGTCAGAGTATATTTTAGATTTTGTGCAGTGCCACTTACTGCTGTTGTTAATCTAATATTTATATTTAAAGAATATGAACATTGCTCAAAAATGAATAGGGGTATCTGTAGGGACTGAAATCCATAGATATATATATATATATCTATGCTGAAATCGGCCAGAAGAGGCGCTTTTTGGTGCGTTTCCTTGCCAACGACGTTGTGTGACGTATGACGCTCGCAGCCGAGCCTATCCAGCCTACACTCAGCTCTGTTCATTTCCAGGCCGGGTAGAATCCCAGCAACAACGCCGCGATCGGTTTAAGATTGGGCTTGCAATCGCCATCCATCCTTTGAATTTACAACATTTTGTGGAAATATATCAGTCTCACTGACCAGAAGATACACTAAGTCTTTGAATCGGTAAGTTATGGATGCGGGTGGTTGTGAAAAATCTCCAATTTTACTTGTCTTCTCCGCTGCCCAGTTTTATTGTTGCTTTGTTCTGGGCAGCAGCCATTTTTAATCGCCTTGTCCTACATTCCCATCTCTGTCGTGATACCGTTTTGAAAATATACACGAACTGTTGAAAGTGTTTGCATAGGTCCGAGTGTTTTATTGTGATGTACTCCAAAAAACGAATTGTGTAATAATGCCAAGCACACATGCAACTGCTCTAAAAATCCCCGGCCTGCCAGAGTTGTTTTGGGAACTCTAGACTGGAGTTAAACGGGAAATACCGTTTCGCTAGTTTTCGAACAAGCTATGTCTGCTGAAGCTAGCTTGTGCTAAGAACTGTTTGCTGTGTTGTCATTTCTGCGTGGTAACTTGGACACTTAGAAACGTATCTATATACATATATGCAGCTCTGTGGGACCTTGGCCATGTTTACATAGCCATTTTTACTTGAGCCACAAGCTAGCGTATTTTACTAGTGATGGCTAGCATCTGCAGTTATGGTCCTTTTGATGATTTAGTTGTTGCGTTGCAATTAAAGGCAAGGGTGTGTTCTTTTGGGGGAAATTGACAAAAACCTTTTTTGTTTTTGTCATTAGTTGTGATCGACTGTGTTTTTGTTTTCGTGCAGCGAACTGTATGGTGTCGGTTTCTTGTGCTTGAATTAGCATTAGCTTCCAATGAGGTAACAACACCTACAACTAACGTGAGAGAGGTCAAACAATATTAATAAAAAACGATATCTCTTGGTCAAATATTATTCTGCTATCTTTAAAAAAAATCATTATACTCATAGCATGTGCCGTTCTCAATTGGCTATCTGACGGAAATACCGTTTAAAATGCAATCAAAGATTGTATAATGTTAGCTGTCATATCGTTAGCTTCCCTTTGCGACACAACGTCCACTAACGTATCAAAAATGAGCGTTGGCAAATTTCTCACTTGGTGGTCATTGTATAATTATACGGGAATTATTACAAGGCAATTGTATGATTTGTTTTAATTTTTGGGCTAAATCGACCTAGGTGGAGAGATATTTGTCTCGGCAAAACGCCTATGCGGTGCTTTAACCGAGCGGCCTTCGAGACCTACGTTGTGTGTTATTTTCTGGTACTCGACTGAAACGACAATATTTGTTCATTTTAGGAAGACATCATAACAACAGCTGTGGGTTTTTGCGCTATGTCTAACGTTATATAATCGAAGCATAAACATTTAGACCACACGGTGTCAAAGCTTTGTGTCGCCTTCTTTTCACTTACTGTATATAAAGCCACAAGTAACGTTCACCATCAAACAAATGTTCTCTAAGGATCTGTTTGGTCGTTTATCACTCGATTTGATTGTTATTTTGTTTACCATGTAGTTTAAGATAAATAAAATAAAAAGCTCTAGAATAGGAAGCTTTAAAAACTGCTATTGTTAGAAAGTGTTTGCAGGCACTTGACTATTGTGGCAGATTCCAGTTGACTTGATATAGATTATATATAATAAAACAGAAAAGCCGCCATTATTTTAGAAATATTTCATTCAGTGTCAGGAAAAAAGGTTTCCTGTCACCCTAAATAGGAGCTCAATTGTTGTTATATTTATCATTTTAATTTGCAGAATTCTGTTCACACTCGTTTTTATGTACTTTTTGTTGTCAAAAGTTACATCAGTGTCAGGAGTGATTATTGCCATTATAATGCTTGCTTTGTGTTAACAAGAAGTTGGTCAGTCATACTTGATTTGTTTAAATATCGTGTTACACATGTCATATTAAATCTCATGAACCAATTTCCCCCTTACCCAATGTGGTAACAAGCCATTCAGATGATTGCATTGATTGTGATCAAACCATAGAACAAATCTAATATTTTTGGAACATTCAGAATAATGTCTAAACCACCAGTGCTGTTTGTAGTATGTGCACAAGTCCTACGCAGGAACTGAGCCAGTTATACATGTTGCAGTTTCTGCCCTCGGGTCAGGATATGTAACTACAAAGTCTGAAGTTTAAGTTTAACAGCAAACAAAGACATGGAGAAAGTCACAGTTTAAAAAAAACAATTAAAATCAAATGTGAATTTAAGAAAAATTCAGGGCCTGCTTCAAAATAATAATGTTTGTTCAACACAAGAAGGTATTTTTTATTTGGGCGATGATGCCTGCTCCGAGCCATGTTTAGCAGTGATCTGAGCTCTGATTGGTCCATCCATACAACTGTGATCTTGCTGAAGTTGCAGTTGAAATGCTTATGATCACTCTGTGGTAAAGTACCGTGATGTACGGAAGAACTAGCATTGACAAAGGGCGACTGCACCACCTCAAATTGGCTTACATCTTTTGTTAAACGTTGCACATGAAACAATGGCGGACACTTTACACAGCACCCATCTGACCACCAATATACATGTTGCACCTGTGTGAGAAAATATAATGTTTCTAATATAAAAACATAACTGAGACAACCATAAAAACGATCAAACCATAGTTCAAGTTATTAGTCAATCAGATTTAATAGTCTCGTAGGCTCACATTACAAACTGAGAACGTAATTCAAAATGTGGAACTGGCGTTCTCAAATGTTGCTTATTTAATGGGTTGGTCTGTAAATATAAAAAATCTGATGATGCTTTTCGGTCACTACAAATTACACCAAATCCATCAGTGCTGCACATCGAACTAAAACTATGGGCGGTGGCCGGCCACAGAGGCATAACGGTGACTTCATGGTGTCCTGAAATACAGTGCCAATGGAAGTTTCCATAAATAAAATAAAGTTTATTTATTTATAATGACATGCAACTGTAAAAATGTAAATCCCATGGTTGCTTATTTATTTTGTTTTCTATAACAAAAAGACAATCCGAAGCTTTAATCACGATTTGCCTTTTTGCAGCAAAGATGTTCTGTGATTGAGTTTTTCCTCAAAACATGTTTTATCTTTGGCTTCATGTTCTTTTCATGTCAGAATCCAAAAATGTAATCGAAATAAATTATATTTGACAATCTAGATACCGCCGAACTTCACAAGGACGTAGATAAATATCCCCATCCCTTATTTTTAAATATTGTTTTCCTTAAGTAAGGTCTTCACTGACATTTCTTCTCCTGTTGTCTTTGTAGAATCAGAAAGCACTGGAAAGAGGCGCAAAGAAAAATTTCCATACTAGATGACATTACATCGAAATGTCCGATCGTTTGGGGCAAATAACCAAGTCCAAGGATGGGAAAAGCAAGTATTCCTCTCTCAGCCTATTTGACAAGTACAAGGGAAAACCAATAGAAACTCAAAAAAACGCAGGTACGTTAAAATATTTAGTTTCTCTTTTGAATACCATATTTCTTTGTTTACGTCTCTGTTACCACATTTCAAATCCTTTGTTAACCTCTTCTCCCCCTTGCTTCTCCCTGCTGTGTATTTTCTCCAAGTAGTTCCGCGACATGGCTTGCAGAGTCTTGGCAAAGTTGCCGCAGCCCGGCGCATGCCCCCACCTGCTCACCTGCCGAGCTTGAAGTCCGAAAACAAAGGAAACGATCCCAACGTGATTATTGTGCCGAAAGACGGTACAGGATGGGCGAACAAGCAGGAACAACCCGATCAAAAGAGGTACGGAGAGTAACGTTAAACAACGCAAACTGCCCTCTCACTTTATTATATCAACCATTCTGCTACAAATCATTATTTTGTATTCAACTATGATGTTGTTATGCACTGCTGCTGGTAGTTTAAAGTTTATGCTTTCAATCATAAAGAAAAATACTGTAAGGCATTCAAAGAAAACAAGCTTAACTGGGTGGTAGCATCCAGAAAAAGTACAACAAATCTTCGATTGATGATTTGAGAAAGTTGATATATTTACACCTGCCTGGAGGTCGAGTCTTTCAGTAAAGACTTGTATCTCTTGTGTGCTCATGCCTTTCATCAGGGAATTGACTACATTTTATTTAACCAAACTTTCTCTTTTTTCTTTCTCTGTAGTTCTATTGCATCGACACCACAGCTGCCGGAGTTGCAGCCACAGCTGGCTTTACAGAAATCTGTCTCCAATCTTCAGAAGCCGTCACCAATAGCAAACCAGGAGGTGTGTATGTGAAGCTATGGTTGTGTTTAAAATGGAATATTCTTGCAGATTTTTACCATCAGGAATGCTGTCTATAGGTGATCTTTGCTGAGCCCTACTTACAAATGCAAGTCTAGTGCTGATTTCATTAAATATATAAAATACTTTTAACAATGTTTTGTCAGTAAATAAAGACTCATTCCATGTCTTAACCTGTTGAACCACATCGACCCGCCCCCGGGCAAAGTTAAAAGAGACAAACTGTAGGAATTCAATGTTATCTGGTTTCTTTCCACAGAACGGAAACACAGGTGGACCAAAACAATGGGCCCAGCTAAATGGAAAGGCAGTAGAGCAAGATGGTGAGTCATTTCAGATTTACCTATAATTGTGTTTAAAATTAAAATGACATGCTGATTGTCATCCCCATATGACATTTGTTACATTATTCTTTGCATATGTCAAACAAACCAATTCCCTTTATGACACTTTTTTTCATTGACAACATCAGGTTTAAGGGTCTCAAACCGCCTTCAGCCCTTCTCTCACGAGGAATTTCCCACGCTGAAGGCAGCTGGAGAACAGGACAGGGCTGGCAAGGAAAGAAGCGGCTTCGATCCGTCGTATGGGCCCGGACCAAGCCTCCGCCCCCAAAGTAAGTCTCAACCCTCTAATTGGCTGGCAGTCTCATAAATAAGATGATGTCTGCTGGCAGGAAGATTGATCAATTGGTGGCAAGATTTTTGACTGTCTGTAATCTGCCCCGCCCCACTTGAAGACGTGACGAGCTGGAGGGAAGGTGGTGGCAGGAACCTTCAGCCCTCGTCTCTGAGCCTCGGCCTGCCAGCAGAACCTGAGGGAAAACTCACTGCCCTGGGTGAGACTGGCAGCCCTCCCGCCACATCTCACCCCCCCTCTGCCATCAGCACAACCTCTAGTGTGGTGACGGCTCAGTCTCCAGTCCTTGAACCCAAGGAGCTTTCGCTGCGCCCCGCCCAGCCTGTCCGCAGAACAACCGTCCCGACTGCCCTGCAGTACCAGCTTCACCACACTTCCACTGCTGTCTACCATGACATGTTGCCTGCATTTGTAAGTACCATATCATTCATTTACACCTTTTGAAAAGACAATATACCGTTTTTTCTAGTACAAAATAAGCTGTTACATATAGCCAAAAACAGCTCAAATCCCTCTTTGTGTTCTGTATTATAAACATGTTGTTTCATTCTGCTGTTTTCAGATGTGCACTAAAGACACACGTGAAGCCCCAGGTACAGACCATGTTCCCACCACTGTTGCAGCCCCAGCTCGATTTGAGAGCAAACCCACCTTTAGACAGAACTTCCCTAAACCTGAACTTGTCAAGTAAGTGCATTGACAATGTGATAGATTGTATCCATTTCTGAGGTAACTGGAACAAGACCATTTTGATGTTTTGCAGTTGCTAATTTGTCTTTCTGTCTAATTGCAGTGGTGATGTGAGAAGAGAGAATCGCTTTGCCCGCGCTCCACCTCGTCAATCTTCTCAGCCCATCCGCAGGCCTGGTGAGAGACCGCAGCGCCCAGCCATCATTAATCCAGACGATCTGAAGGATCTGGATGAGCTTGACCATGACTGCGAGGATGGATGGGCCGGTCAGTACTTCTTAGAGTTGTGTTACTTACTCCATCGGCCTCCTGTAAGAGGTCAAATAAATTGTTAGGAAATTAGAAAAACTACGAGATGAAAATGGGTAGAATGGTAATCACATTGCATGACATAACATTTAATAAATGTATTCACTGAATCAATTGTGTGTGACGGTTATTAGACATGTATGTTGTGTTTTGGCGTAAATGCTCAGGACAGAGCTAGATTCTTCTTTTATGACGGATACCACAACCTGTTTCCAAAGCTCTGTATCCCATCATACGTAACTGCTGCTGACTGTTGTCTTGTTATCTTTACAGGACTTCACGAAGAAGTTGATTATGGTGAGAAGCTTAAGTTCAGTGATGACGAAGAAGACCACACCGGTGAAAAAAGCAGGATGCGGTGAGATTTATTTCCTTAAAAAGTTAACGTTCTTCTTTTGCCATCATTTAATGGACTCCTGGTTTAATTTTGATCTTTTTCTTAGTAGGACTGAATGGGAGAGGGAGAGAGAGCTGCAGCGTGACTCTCTTAGTGCAGGCGAGGTGGCTTATCCCCAGGAGGGCCCTGAGGAGAGCTATTCCTACCAACATCACCACCTCGAGCCTCCCAGAAAGACCAACGGCCGATATCTCCCCACGGACATCCCGGTAACAACACACATAACCTATGCTGTGTTTTTCCACTTCCCCCCCCCCCCCCCCCCCCCCCCCCCCTCCTCTGAGAGGACTTATCTAAGATGTACTCCTTACTTTACAACAGCATCTTGGTCTTTTATCCCTTTGTGACTGTGGAGGGAAGGTAACAAAACAGAGCATATGAATAGCGGTGTGCCTTCACACACACTCGATGACACTGTCATGAATTGGCAGAGATGACCTTGCAGTAACCATAGAGATATCTTCCAACTACTTTTCAATTGCCATGCCTTTTGGTTGGCAACTGAAAACGACATGACGGGCAAAATAGAAATACGGATTTTACCTGTCAGGTGAATTCCCTCAAATAATCTACAAATATAGATGCCTGCATATTTAATATTTGTCTTTAACTAAACAAGTATTTGAGGCTTTGAAGTTTTCATTTCAAGCAGATGGCCTTAGCAGACAATGCAATTTAGGGTTTCCTAAAGGCCTTTAGATCTAAGGTGTATTTTTAACCTTTAAGTATGGATCTGGTCTGACATTAGTTTCTTATCATCTCCAATCCAACCATGTTTCAATAAATAAGAGGAAATGTATTTACACATTTTAATTATTGAACTATCGGGAATATATATATATACATATATACATATATACACCCCCTTAAACTGCCCCCGTTTCATCTCTAGGCCCAGAAGAAAATCCAAGGTGAGCCACTGGCTGACCAGGACGATGCCCAGCGCCACCCCCAGGCTCCAGCTAGGGCCAAGTACGTGTCACCTGAGCTGTCGGAGGCTGTTGAGAGGGCACGCAAACGTCGGGAGGAGGAAGAGAAGCGTGCCCGTGAGGAACGACTGGCCGCCTGCGCTGAAAAACTGAAAAGGCTGGATGAGAAGTTTGGGAAAATTGAAAGGCAGACATCAAGGACAGAAGAGGGCCAGAAAGAGGGAGAGGGCAAAGAAGTGCCATTATCCCCAGAAAGGGAACAGAGTAAAAGCCACCATGAGACCTGGCAGTACAGCACAAAAGGTAACGCATTATTTCAAGTAGACTTTTACTTTTAGGCTTGCATGTTGTATATCAAATGTATCGGTGGATTATAACTGTGTGGTCATCAACCGATTTCCAGAGGGAAGCGAGGTTCCCCAAGACAACTCTCCTGTCCAGAGTTACCGCGATGAACCTGCCCTCTCTAACTATCGTGTCAGTGAGGATGATGTTCAGGAGCCCACCTCCCCCTCCTCCGGAGACTACAGCGGACGTCAACCCTCCAAACCCATCCCACCCCGCTTTCAAAAGCAGCAGCAGCAGCAGCAGCCGCCGCCGCCGCCGCAGCACCATCAGCAGCAGCAGGTGAGCGCCATCTGATTCCACTTAACCCATAAAGTCTTAATCCCAGATTAATGCGTCAATGTCTTAGTGGCTGCGTGTGAATAGAGGTATTTTAGAGTTCACGGTAGCAGGTTTTTTTTTTTCAAGGTTTAGGCCTTCATTCAACAGCTTTGTGAAGTGTGTAAACCTATTTGATTAGGCTATTGTTAATTATTTCTGAGCTAATGGCATTTGGCTATCTCGCAGTTATAATTTGTGAAGTGAATAATAAATCCCACTGCTTTGGCTTACAGTCCAATTGCCCTTTCTTCCGAGTCCACATTTTTGCTGTGAAAAAGGATGATTACCCCACTCTATGGTCATTTATACCTTTCTCGGATAACAATTACTGTGATGATGCATGAGGAGTGAAACATTGAAGTTCAAATTAGTCACAAAAAAATCTATTTTTCGTCCATGGTGTAAGTTATAATTCCTTGCTGAGATGCTTAAACCTCTTCTTTGTTATAAGGTGAATGTGAAATTAAATGAAATGGCTCCAATGCATGTTAAAACGTTGAATTTAAACTAAGAAGACTGACCCCTTGACTCCCATATTTTCTTCAGCTGAAAGTTATTTTCACAAAGAGCAAGGACTGTGGATTCGGTCCACCATCTCTTAAACGTGTATTCCCTGTAAACAATCTACAGGAACAAGTATACAAGATGCAGCACTGGCAGCAGTCCGGTCACCCTGCACCTTCTGGCTCGAGCCACAGCCAGCGGGGTTACTACCCCCCGCACGTCCTCGGGTTCGATCCCCGCTGGATGATGATGCCGCCTTTCATGGATCCCCGCATGACCCAAGGACGATCTCCTGTGGACTACTACCCCGGTGCCGTTCACTCTTCAGGTTAGCACTAACTCGATAAAATTAGTGCACCTGTCACATCTAATGTCCAATAGTTTCGTCATATTTTTAATCATGACAAAATGTTTAACACTCATTTGTTTTCAGCAGGAATGATGAAACCAATGATGCACCAAGACCACCTGAACAGCCCTGGATCCGATGAGGGATGCCATCCTAACCTGCACCAAGAGAGAAGAGCCCCTTCCACTGAGCCTTACCCCATGTGGAACCAAGATGGCTACCCCTTGCGCAGCTTCACTCCACCTTACCAGAGACAGCATGATAGCTCAGAAAGTGGCCAGCCAGATGACAGGTACGTTACTGTTGTTAAAATGAGAGCCTGTTGATCTTTTGTATTGTGATTAAAATCCCTCAAACCTGACTCAGCTCTATTTCTACCTAAAACCCTGAATTGTGCACAAGGCCCCTCTTGGTGGGCCTCTGTTTGTTGCCATTCTTTCTATTTTTTTGTATCTTCTTTTTTTTCCGCAGAAGTGATATGGGCGGCACCCAACAAGACTCTTATGAAGAGAGGGCCAATGAGGGCTTGACCCACCCCCAAGATGATATCCCTCATCATGCTTACAAGAGCCGAGGCCCCGAAAGAGAACACCAACACCAGGACCAAGGCTTGCTGACCACCGCAAAGAACCACACCTTAAATCATGCAGATGGTGATTACCAACAACAAGACTCAAGAGAGAAGCACCTCAAAGACGGCTCTGAATCTCGCGATGAGACCTTAGAGGGCTCCATGGACAACTGGAAAAGAGATGGAAGTCAGAAACAAGACGGAGGACTCAACAGTGCTAAAAGCCAGTGGTCCGAATCTGCTTCCAGTAGTAGTGTAAGCCAGCCGCCTGAAACCAGCGGGCGCACCTTGACTCGCAGAACTGGGCCCATCAAGAAACCAGTACTAAAGGCTCTCAAAGTGGAAGACAAGGAGAATGAGAAGCCTAAACCAGAGCCTGAGGAAAAACCTGTCCCCTACCGCCTGGAAAAAGAAGTCCTTACCAATGTCTACGACTTAAAGAAAGACAACCAGCCTGCCATCAACAGGCGGTCAGCCTCACCGGTTGTTGAGAAACAGCCAGAAGAGAGGCACCGTCAGTCACCAGCTCCCATCAAAACAGAAAGACCTCTGAGCACACACAGTGATGACTCTCCCAAGGAGAGCCCCTGGGACAGTGGCAAGAGCCAGTCACCTAAAGATGTCAGCCAGGACTCCCAGGCACCACGGAGAAATAATTGGATCTTCATCGATGAAGAACAGGCCTTTGGGGCAGTCAGGGGAACAGGGCGGGGCCGCAGTCGAGGCTTTAGGGAATTTAACTTGAGAGGTGGAAGCCGTGGTGGCCGAGGCGGAGACAATCTCAGAGGGGCCTATAACAGCAATAACAACAGCAGCGGCGGCGGCGCCCAGCGCACCGGCAGAGGCAGAGCAACACCTAGGGACATGGTCAAGGTGGAGGAGTTCCAGAGGGGGAAGCCTCGCAGGAGAAATGTAAGTGAGACCTTGAGCGAAACCTCTGAGTATGAGGAGCTTCCCAAGAGGCACTGCGAGAAGGGATCTGAAAATGGAGAAGGTTACACAGAGTCTGGAGAAGTCCGAAAGGCTGATCGAGACTCTTGGAGATCTAACAAAATCTACACAGATGAACAGGCTGCCATAGATTCCAGAGACAAGGCCAAGGCCAGCAGGGGCTTTGGAGGTCGCACGCTGCCTCCCAGACTGAACACCACTGGAGGTTACAGTCGAGGCTTCGGAGGACCAAGGGAAATGTCTACATGGAGGGGCCGTGGGCCCCAGTTTAACAGCACTGGTGGCCCCATGCAAGAAAATGGTTATGGTCCTGGAGCTGAGACGGCTTATTCCCGCAGACCCCCTGTTGACCGTGAGACTCTGAAGTACCCTCCTAAACTCACTGGCTCCTTCATGGAAAATGGCACAGAGGAGCGTGAAGGAGAATACTATTTTGACAATGAAAACCCTGACAGGCAGATGTTAAGAAGACGTCGTCCACCCCGCCAAGACAAGCCTCCACGCTTCCGTCGTCTACAACAGGAACGCGAACCCGGCTCAAACCAGTGGACAAGTGATGAGTACGTCAATGGAGAGCTTTCAAACCCCTGGCCTAATCGCCCAAAAGGCAGTGGGGAAGAAAACTGGCCCAGTGGCCAATACTCTGGTGCACGCCCCGTCCAGCACGGTCAGACAGAGGAATGGGAGACGGGATCAGAAAACAGCGACATTGGGGACTGGAGAGAGAAGCGAGGCGGAGCTGGAGGCGCTCCTACACAAGGACACGGTGATATTCCCTTAGACTCGGGCCACGGTGAACCAGGCTCTGGAGAAAAGAGGGAACTTTGCAAGAGAAGCTTCTCCAGCCAGAGACCACTGGTGGAGCGGCAGAACAGGAAAGGAGAGCCATCACTGCTGGAAGCAAGCAAGATGGTTCGTGCATCTGATAATCCCCCCACCTCCTCCAACAGGAATGACAGTTGGCAGAACGGAGGGAGTTCTTGTAAGAGGTGAGGAAAAAACTTCAAGTTGAAGTAATTGTCCTTGTCCTGTACCCATATGTGTGCTACTTTCCCTCTTATTGAACAAAGCATGGGGTACAGATTGTTCCATATGAGGATGTAGCTCAGTTTCATCATCTAGATGAATGTTGGAAAGACCCGCGCCTGACAGGAGGATTGGCTACTAATACCGTAGATATTGCACAGCATCCCTCCTGAGCTTGAATCTTGTGTCATCCTTTTTCTTCCATTTGTTTTTCCTCCTGTCTTCTGTAGTCTGTATTTTTCTCTTTTCTGAATGTAATTGGCTTCCTTGAAGATCTATATTTGATATCTTGTTTTAACTGCCAAAGTTAAAACTACGCTTAATTTGTTTTTTGCCAATGTATTCGAGTGTATTTTATAATAGCAGAATACCCAATTAAAAACTCTTTGTCTCTCCCTTTTCCTGTTTTTCAGCAGGAGCCCAGATGAGTCGGTCTACAGCATAGAGCAGCCAGACGAGAGGGAGCCCATGGAGTCATCAGGCTCCAAGGAGCTGAAGCAAGGACCGATCAAAACAGACATTGTCGAATCTCTCTCCCAGTATGAGCTCAGCAGCTACCAAGGTGAGACCAGTTTTTGAAATGTGCTGTTAATAGAAATGAAATGTTCTTAAGTGATAACCCTGTTGCCCATCTACTATGAAAAAACTAGACTTTTGGTAGTACTACATTTTTAGGGTAGATTCTGATACTGATCTCATTTAAGCTATAAAGAAAACTGACTCGAAACACAGAAATTGTGAATTACACTAGTTTATACCTATTTGCAAATAATTTGTGCCTGTCTGTTTGTAGTTGAGAGCGATTCTGGGATCCAAATGACAAATTCAGATGGATACCAGGATGCCTTGTCAAAAAAACAAAGACGCCCGCAGGAAGATGATAGAAGGAGGAAGGAACAGGCAGCTGCTGTAAGTTGACATGTGCATAAGAGTTATGCCTTCAAAGAGCATTCAATTTGTAGTTTATTAAGTTTTTCTCCTTTTTTTTGTTTTTAGGTGCCGGTGAAGAACAGGACAATCGCTTCCAAGATACCTCCACGCTTTGCCAAAAAGCAGGGCAGCCTGGGACTTGAACAACCTGAGGAAACACTTTCTTCCAACAACCTTGGAACTGAAATCTGGGAGACCAACAGCTCAGGTAGTTGACAGCTGCAACTTTGTGCCAATGCTTTGTTCTGGATATGTTGTCTGCTATATATTGAAATGTGCATTCATAGTTCAAATGTCACACTTTTTCTGCTAATGAATAATTATCAAATGTTCATAAGGCTTTCTCTTGAATGGATATTGTGTGGAAAGGGACTAATTTTCACTAATGTCATTCATTTCTATTTTGTAGCTCTTTCAGTACAGTCTTCAGGTGGAGACTCATGGACTAAACAGGTGTCTTACACTGGGAGCGAGCCCAACTCTGAGGTAGTGTGCCCTTTCTTTCCTGCAGTTAAAAAATGAACACTAATTTCAATGTGTTTTCTTCCTTATTATTGAATAAGAAATGGGCGCGACTGAATAACATTGAGAAACCAATTATTCCCTGTTCTTCTTTCCCCAGGACTCTGATGCTGGCCCCGAGCAGAACAAAGAACAGCACAAGCCCGGGCCCATCGGAAACGAGCGCTCCCTGAAGCACCGCAAGGGATCAGAAGGTGTCGATCGGCTGGAAGGCGGCCCCATCACTCCGGTCAACGGGGTGGACCTCCATGTGGACACTGTGCTGCCTGGGCCTCCTATTGAGTTTGGTGTCAGTGCCAAAGACTCTGATTTCAGCCTGCCACCGGGATCCACCCCAGTGCCCGTGTCCAACCCTGTCAACAAGCTTCAGGACGTACTCGCCACCCATGTGAGTGATTACACATGTACTTTTATGGGGTTTTGTGAATAAAATAACTAGTGGAATGCATTAGATATTAACTTGCAACTAATTCATACTGAATTTTGGTTTGTTTTGAAACAGACTGCTCTTAATCAGAGTATCCCAATGCTGCGTTCCAACCATCTGCAGCCAGGCATGAACCTCAACCCCATCTCCTTCCCCAGTGCTGACCTCACTCTCAAGGTATTTCAACTCCACTCCAATGTACACAGAGCTTTATTTTTCCATGCAGATAAGAGATAAGGAAAGTCTATTTACAGACATAAATAAACATAACAAAAAGGCAAACATGACTGTGTTATTCAAACATGCATATAAACGTTGTAATTTGTATTACCCTTCAGATGGAGTCAGCACGTAAGGCGTGGGAGAACTCCCAGTCCCTCCCCGAGCAGGGCTCTCCGGGCGGAGGTGTTTCAGGTGTTCAGCCTCCTTGCAGCGTTGGCTCCTCCAGTGGGGTCAGCTACAGTTCCTTTGGAGGGGTTTCAATGCCTCCGATGCCTGTGGCTTCAGTAGCGCCTTCCATGTCCATGCAAGGTAAAACTGCATTTCATTTCCTCTAATAGATGGCGGCTTTATCCATGAGGGGAACTAACAACCTGTTTTTATCCCCTCTGTAGGTAATCATATTCCCCCGTTGTATCTGGACGGACATGTTTTCCCTAGCCAGCCCCGCCTTGTACCTCCCAACATGACCCAGCAGCAGTCCTACCAACAGGTACAGAGATAAATCCACACACACTCACTGAGGCGTGTTTGTCTATCAGCAGAATTCTCATTATGTTTTTTTATTTTTGTCCATTCAGGCGGCCGCAGCCCAGCAGATCCCAATGTCTTTGCACACGTCTCTTCAGGCTCAGGCTCAGTTGGGGCTTCGGGGGGGTCTCCCCGTCTCTCAGTCCCAAGAGATGTTCAACTCTATTCCCCCTTTCAGGTACGACCACCCTAGTTTATCATAGATTTGACATTGGTTTCATTAATAAGCTTTTCTTTATAATAGCCTGTTCCATGAGTCTGGCAACACCCTGTAGTCTAATATGTTATTCTGTCACTCACTATACAATGCTTCCTCCTCCTCTCAGGTCCCAGGTCTACATGCACCCCAACCTGTCCCAGCCCAGCCCCATGGTGCTGTCGGGCGGGGGTCTGAAGGGGCCCTACTCTGCTTTCCCTGGCATGCAGCCCTCAGACATGGTGAAGACGCAGTCAGGCTCACACTACCAGCCTATGAACGGCAGCCAGCAGCTGGTTTATGAGAACCAGATGAACCAGGGGCCTGGTATGGGGTCTTCCCAGCTCATGGACTCTCAGCTCATCCAGGTCAGTGGACTGCTGAAGCTCAGTTACACTACAGCTCAGATACTGCATTCTTATTGACGCTTGTCAGTTTTCAAAATGTATGTATATAAAAACGTAGAGAATACTAGCCTACATAGCATAATTAGACTATATTTGTACTGTTTCTTTAAATAACAACAATATGAACAGTACAAATCTTGTCTTCACCAGGTGACCATGCCCCTGCCTGGCTCTCAGCTGCGCTATGGCTCCGCTCAGCAGCATCTCATCCTCCCTCAGTCCATCCAGCTGCAGCAGGGACAGAACCTGTCTGTGGGGGGCCCGCGCCGAATGATGCCCCCCGGCTCCCAGCCTACAGTGATGACTGGCAACAGAGAGGTGTGACCTACTGACCTTTTGTCACTCGAGCAAACTATATTGATCCATCATAAGGAACCATGACTGTTTTTGTGCAATAACAGTTGTCGTTCTCGTTCCCTTACTCTCAGGGATCACAGATGGAAATGAAAGGCTTCCAGTTCGCTGAGAAGCCCAATCATTCCCAAGGCATGTCCGGAGGCTCCTACAGGTGAGCAGGAATTATCTGTGCAAATAATAGAATGTAGCGGTCTGGAAAACAAACAAAGGTTTGCTCTTTCTACGAGTGAGACATGGCGTATCAGTAATGCACATTTAAGTAAATACATTTTAAAACTATCTTTTTATTTTCTTCGCTCTCCTCAACAGGCCTGGGTCTGCCAGTCCCAGTGGGAAGCCCTCTGGTCCCGGGGGCCAAATGGGCCCTCTGCCTACACATTTTGCTCAACAGGTATTTCACTTTTAAAGTTATCTCAACAGTTATTATTCTTGTGCCATTGAATGAGGTTTATGAACACCTAAGGCCTTGTTACAATTTCTTAACTTTAATAGCTGCTTTTTTGTCCAGGGCTCATTTGTAAGAATTCAAATGCATTAACATGATGCTAATTGTGTTTTCATTTATTTCCTTCCCCCCCCTCCCTCCCCTCCTCTCCATGGACCAATAGGTCCCAACTGCTCAGGGCAACATGGTGATGCACATGCGGCCCCCCACCACTGGCCCTTTCCCCAACCCCATACAGAGACCAGTCATGCAGGTCAATAAACCTGTCCTCATCCGCCCCCCCCCTTACTCTAACCCTGGCCGTGACCTCTCCCACTCCACCCCTCCCTTGATCCCTGAGCCCCAAATGAAAGGGCCAGAGGATGGCATGAAGGTGAGCCACCCACTGTAAATATAGGTAATTTAATTTTTTTCAATTTTCTTTTTCTCTATTTGCATTATGTGTGTTGTGTATTTTCTTGGTGTGTAACTTTGACATTAATGGTAGATTCATATTTAACGTATCTGAGAGGTTTGATAGGATACATTGGTTGTGCTCTTACAATGATCTGGGATAGTATCATTCTACACTGTTAATAATGATGTTGATGTCATTTTTGGATAATCTCTTGCTGATGAATGTAAGAATAATGCATTTTACAAATGAGAAGTTTCTAATGTCTTACAGATTGTATAGCTCCCTGAGTTAAATGTGTGATATTGGGTATTAAAAAGTATCTCTGTATAGTTTGATGTGTTCATGGTACTTGAGCAATAGATGGTATTTTAGGTAGAAATATGCCTCCTGACACTGTTAAACTGATCCAATGAAAAACTAGAAGCCAACAATATTTTGAGACAAACCATGCATTGGCATAGTAACAGCTAACATTGAAAGAAACTCATCTAATGGCTGTTGAGCATCTGGAGTTCTAGCTGATATAAGCCTGGAGCTATCAAACAAGTGTTATTGCATGCATACATGTATAGTTTTCCAGCACTGCTGTAGGTCTCTGTAGGTAACTCTGCCCTTTCTTTGTGCAGAATAAAACCATGCGAGAAGTGCGTAAGGCAGTGGGTGAGGGCAAGACACCATCTGGGGGAATGACCAGCAAACTCCAGGAGCCCCTCCCCCCCACGGGGCAAGCCAAACCAGCACGCACTGGAGCCATCAAACCCCAGGCTGTTAAAGTAGAGGAGAGCAAGGCATAACAATGGACCTTAGAATCCTCATCAGCGCTCAGCCTGCCAACACAAGCCCCTCGACATCGCCAGAGCCTCCTATGACCCACCCTATCCCGAGGCACCATGGCAGGGGGTATACATGCAGACATCATAATTCCCCTCTTGAACTGTCAGAACTGGACACTTATTTCACACAACGTATAGAGATATATAAATATATATAAATATATATACATAGACACACACAGTCTTTTAAGCAGATCTCTTCAAGGTCCTCTTTAATTTATTATTAGTCACTTTTAAGGGGAGATTGGTAAAGAGAAAAGATATTTCTGTTTTTTTGTGTTTCTCTTCAAGGTGTGGAAAACAAAAATGGCCGACTCAGAAAGAGAGCCCATTTTTTCATACCATTTTTGCCAAACTGTATTTACTCCCTCTTTATGGACTGTAACCGTTAAGACCAGACAGACACTTGATACAACTCACTATGAGAAGCAATGTCTGTTAACATTTTAAACAAATTTGAAATGCAGTGGGGCACTTTTTGTCATTTTTCATTGGCGTTTTTGCTGGTTAAAATAATGTTCATTCCTGCTTTGGTAAAGGACTTCTTTTTTTTAAAACCCCGAAAAAAAAAAAATTGTGGACATCATTGCATGTCACCATGGCAAAAGCTTAAGTGCATCACCCTAGAAATGCATCTTCTGGGGTTCCTCACCCTACACATGAACTTTGGTGAAACTGCTTAGATTGGTAGAAATAATTTCTTTTCTTAAAACTCTGTTCTTTGCTTTTACATTCTGTCGCTCTCTTCTGTATGTAAATTGAAACTAAAAGGTGGACGTTTTACCAAAATCATGTTGCTTCCATGGGAACTTCACTGGCTTTGATACAGCGTGTGCATGTGATGTGCTGAACGTGTAAACTTGCGGGACTTGTTCTTAGAACAGAGCAACATTTCACAAAGTGATGATTTTTACATCCCTCAGTCTGGGGCGTTTAGCTTTCTTCTTTATAAAGGCTCTTAAAAGACTTTAATCTCTAATTCCGTTAAAATCCCACCTCACAGTGATGTGGGGATTTATAAATAAATATTCATCACCATTTGATTATATTCAGCATCTGGTCTCTGAGGTGGCACTAGCAATAAATGCAGCCTAACTATAATCACAATCGGGGTCCAAATAACACATTTTCTTCTGTTAGAAGCTAATGATCACAAATGAGGGGCGTATAGCATCGCTTGTTGAATTAAAATGAGATATTTGCTTACGCTTTTTTTGTGAACACTGCAGTTCCAGTGGCCTACGAAGGACTTTTAAAGTGTTGTTCTATTTGAAAATGTGAAGCTGTTGGAATCATTTATTTTGTTCTTTTTGTAATGGACACTCATTTTGAAACTCACAATGCCAATGTCATTACTGGTTAAATGTTACTGCTTACCATAACGCTCCACAACACTACAAAATGTTGCAATTTATCTTTGACAGTGTTTCACTGGTATGTATGTATATGCATTCTTATCTGTACAGTTGAGCCTTGTCAGCGAGGGGAGTCATAAACCCACATTTCATTTTAGATATTGTGACACTATACATGATTTAACGTTGATAAAGGTCACTGTGTTCAGAATGGACTGCTTTCACTTGTTGATAGGTTTATCTGGCTTGGAGTGTTTTTGCTTCTTATCCCTTACTGCAAAAGATCTTGATGCTTCTCATCATTGTACCCGCACCAATATGTTGCCCTGAACCTTTTTTTTTTGTTGTACTTTTAAGATGCATATATTTCCTTTTGTCAAAGGACCAGTGCTTTCGACAGCTGATCCAGCATTTTATTTATCCTACCTGAACTTTATCCTTTCAGATACTTGGTCATTACTCTCCCTCGTTAAAAAAGAGCTTATTGAAAGAAAAAGAAATAAAGCAGTTGTGATTTCTTAAATGTACTGTTGATTCTGTATTCTCACTTTGTCATATTAAAATCATGCATCAAATGGGAAAATGATTTTAGGCTGTGTCCAGCACAATCCTGAAAAACACTGACCGTACAAATGTTGTTTTTTATCATTTAGCACTGAAGAAAAAACATTTCCCTCCAGGCACCTGCGTCAATGTCTCCCAGTGGCTACAATTAATGTGGACCCCTTTACATTACAATATTTTTAATTTATTTTAAAAAAATTGTTTACTTAGTTTATTCTTGCATGGTTATGCCATGAAACCATTACTTGTCCATTTCAAAGCTTAATCTATTTGTGCCATTTGGGGGGAAACAATTAAAAGGCCAGTAATGAGCCACTACTACCAAATGACTTTAATCTACTATAATATTGAGTGATATTAAAATAAAGTGATATTTGTATTGATGCGGTTGCGGTAACTCATCAGAAACAAAAACGTGACGTCAGAAATTCCCGAGATTTCTGCAGGACGGAAGAAACCTGTCTGGACAAAGACTGTTTTCTTCTTTAGCAGCGGGAGGAGGAAGCCTTGTTCTGCTTGTTCTGTTCCACAGGATTTATTGGCGTTGGGACAGGCTCCGAGCATTTTTTGTGATTCAACAAGGTAACTTCACTTCTGTTTTTAACTGTGTGTCCACTGTCCACCCCCCTGCCGTAGTTTCTTTGAGTTTGGTAAAGTAAGAAAGATATCCAACTTGACTCGAGAACAAATCGCTTTTATTACACAAACGTCTCTGAACATCTATTGTAAGACAAACTACAACGTAATTCTGATTACAAATAACCAAAACGGTTCTTCGAGCTGGATACTCGGTCTCTATCTGCAGCCGGAGGAGAGACAAGTGCGCAGGGACCGTCTTCAAAGGGTACCGCCAACAAAACCGTTGTAATTGATACAGTGAAGTGCTATCAAAATAACGTCACACATTTATTTGGTGATAATTTCTTGTGTAAAATAATCTTTTGCATAATTTTGGTGAATATTTATTGTGTTGTTGACTGCAACAACACCCAATAACTTCACTATTATACAGTGTAGTGTTACCAAAATCCCGTTATAACGTCTCAACAGTTGTGGGAAGTAAATACGGAAGTACTGTACTTAAGTACACTTTTGAGATACCACCAGTAGCCTACTTGAGTATTTCAATTGTTTTCTTCTACTCCACTATAAATCAGAGGTAATTAAATGGTGTAGCCTACTTTTACTTTAGTAACTTTACAGACTTGGTGAAATAATGTGAAATATAATCAACACTTAAATAAGACTTCAGTAGGCCTATACAAAGTAATTAAAACGTTCTGCACCTTTACCAGCTTTGATAAACACTTTTATCTGACACTAATGCATCAATAATTATAATCAATACTTATAATATATATTATTCTTCAATGGACCAATCTGCATAATAAGTATATTTTGAAGCCAATACTTTTGTACTTTTACTTGAGTAACATTTTGAATGCAGGACCTTGCATATAGCTGGATTGTGTGTGTTTGTCAAATGAATGTATGTGTCTTTCCATACATTTTCTATCATCATTTAAATAGACGTCTCAGCACAGACAGTATGTTTCAGTTTTCTTTGAATAACCGGTGTGTTTCTGTGACCCAGGATGGCGTCGAAGGGCGGCGTCAGGCCCGATGAAGGCCTGATGATGATGCAGGAGTTTGACGACCGGTTGAATGAGCAGAAGGACAAACTGGAGCATGTTCGCCTGTCTGCTGTTGAACTGAAAGAAAACTTGTCTGCGGTATGTTCAGCATATCAAATCCATTTTTAAGATGCTTTAAACCAAACTGGTTTTCCTTGAGCTTGTTTTATTTTAACATTATTTTCTTCTTATAGTGCAACAGTGATCTCACCGAGTCTATCGCTGACCATCTGGAGCGGCTGAATCACTTATCAGAGCGAGTGGAGACTCTTCACCTTAACACAACTGTTTTTATTCAGGTGAGAAATGGATAGTTTCTGAAGGTATCTGAGTTATTTGCACAAATAGGCAATAAACCTCTTACACTGTAAATATTGTATTGTGTTTTATGCCATCAGTATGAACAATAGGACTTTAACCATCCCGTGTTTGCTGTATGTCAGTTTGTCACTGATAATGTGTTATACAATACATTAGTTAAAGGATAGGCAACATGCAAGCATAACAGCAACGGAAATATGAATGGTATTGATTTCCATAAAGCCCCCCCAGACAGTAATTTGGATGTAGTTGTAAATATTACCAAACATATTTCTAAATGATCTATAGCATTATAAACAAAAAAAAGCAGTTGCAGTAATCTAAGCCTGATGCAGGTTGTGAACAATTCCTTAAACCACAGAGATGTGTACCAGCAATAGAAGAGGGTAGTGCAGAAATAATAACGATGATGTTGGTGATTACTCAATTATCATATGTAAATCTAAAATGACAAGAGTTAAAAATCCCTCAGTTTTTGCACTGAGGTGATTTATCTAGCTGATGTTATTCTAATCATCATAGTTTGTCTAGAAAAGTAATTATTTCATATGAAATACTTGGGACTTTTAATACTGTATATTGAAATATCAGATTCACAATCAGAATTATTTTATTCTTCACTCAAAGGGGACATTTACGTTGTTACAGCAAAGTATACATAGAGGAAGAAAATAGAACACTATTATATAAAAAGGCATGCACATAGTATTTCAAATAAAAAGTATTACAATTTTCAGAAGTACATATTCAAGTAGATAGTAAGTAGCAAATATTGAAACATATACAAAAGTATATTGTGATCTTTAATCCTTTCTTCATCTATTTCCAGATGAATACCAAACCTCGTCTATGGGCGGGCAAACAGGGTTCCAAACAAAGCTACCGCCTCGGACGCCTCCACAAGGCTGAGGACGTCCAGTCGGAGTTCGGCTGGTCCCCCATCCGTACACGACGAAACAGTAATGCTGCATCTGAAATGTCTTGTAACTGGTGAATTGTGGCCTTAAACAACTACTGTATTTGCTAAAAGTTCCACGTAGTTTTAAGCTCACTTCCACCAAATTGATGATAAAGAAAACTCCTGTATTCTTGTTTTGTTGAAAACGGTATTGTTTAATAAAATCATGGCTAATCGTGTCCTGTCAAAATGTCCATTATTCATAACATGCAGTTGATCCACTCAATATTACAAATTCAGAGATATTACTCCATTCATTTGTACTATATTACTATGTAGCATTTTTTACAGTGCAATAATTGAATTCTAGTCTTGTAAGGTTTGTGCTCTTTTTTCTCAAAAGATCCAAAAACTGATATTTTGTAACAACAGTCTGATGTAATGTGTGTGTTATGCAATGGAGCTGCTTATGTGGCTGCAGGTGCCCCACCAGCAGGGGTCGCTGCTAAACGCTTCCTTTATGTCCTTGTTCTTCACTTTTGTAAATAAAGCTTTGGCAGACGCGTGGGTGACGCTAGAAGGAAGGTCCGATTCGCTAAAGTAGCACTACCTTCATAAAAAGAATCATTTTGACCACACACAGTGGTACCTATTTTTGTATCTATATTTAATATTACCGGTAACGAGTAAACCCCTACAAACATGGCAGAAAGTGACTGGGATACCGTGACTGTCTTGAGGAAGAAGGGGCCGTCTGCTTCACAGGCCAAATCCAAGCAGGTTAGCTTGAACGCCTCACTTCGTATTTGTTTTTGATTTATTTCTGAAGCATACTCTCAACTATGGACCCTCTTAACGAGACAAAATGATTCAGGTTTTAGTAAATAACTGAGTAAACGTTAATAACATGGTGTAATAGTAAAATGTAGTACACGTGGTTGCGGGTTAAAATGACCAGCAAACATGCTCCGTAGTTTGGTTTGGCTTGCTAACGTTAGCTAGCTAGCTAATAACAACAACAGTAGACGTGTTATTTGACTTCTTCCAGCAAACTGTTAATAACGGATGGGGTGTGGTTTTAACTAACAATATAGTCGGTTTTATTAGGAAGGGCGTATGAGAAACTAAACGGCTTTGTTCTCACTAAATACAATACTCTGGTAACCTAAACCAAGTGTATGTCGACAGCCAAACGGCTAGCTTTGTCTAGTGCTAAATCATGTTTTAAAACATCACTTATTAACTTAACTTGTCTTTTGGGCAAGCCAAACCTAACACAGAAATGTTTACCTTAGCTAGGTAATGTGACTGTTATTTAAAGAAATGTACGGTGACCAACCAACTTGCTAGCTAGCTAGCATTAGCCAGCTAACCTAAAAAGGGTTCTTGGCAGAGAGCCGAAGTACCCCCCTTTCCGGTGGAACTCCATGGGACCTTATTTCGGAAAAATTATGTATTGAAGTCAATGGCGAGAGAAAAGTTATCTTTCGATCCCGTTTTAATTGTGCCATGAATTACACCAATTATGTTTGTCAATCTTAAAAAATAATTTCCAAGTAAAAAAGTCACAGTTTGTAGTAACACTTATTTGTGTGTGAAACCGCTCAATGAACTACATCTCTGGTCTCGCACAATACACGTCACCAACACCAGAATGAGGTGAAAAGTATTAAACTAGGTGAAAATCATTACACGTCTGGGCATGTTGAGAGCTGCTATTACACAAAAGGAGAGTTGGTCGGTTCCGTAAGAGCCAGTATGCGGGAGGCTTACAAGGTTTCTGTGAGTTTGAACCCTCCTGTTACATTCAGGGTCAAATTGACCCGTTTGAAAATCTACGAAAAATACTTTCAAGTATTTTTTTTGTATGAAACTTCTTCTACTTACCTTAATTAGTGCAATAAACAAGTAAAATGAAAATGGTTCATGTCATGCATTTGGAACCCCCCCCCTACATGTCTATATCACAGAGATGGTATTCGGGTCAATCTGACCCGGCAGTGCAAGTGGAGGCTAAAAGGGGTCAGAAATACACACACACACACACACACACACACACACACACCAGTGAAAGTGGAGGCTAGAAGGGGTCAGAGGGCTCAAATGGGATATACGGTATATATATCGTAATTTTCCACAGACATACATGACAGAGAGAGAGAGAAACACAGAGAGAGAGACAGACAGAGAGAGAGACAGACATGACAGAGAGAGAGCGAGAGAGACAGAGACAGACAGACAGACATGACAGAGAGAGAGACAGACACAGACAAACAGAGAGACAGATAGAGACAGACAGACAGACAGAGAGAGAGAGACAGACAGAGAGAGAGAAACAGAGAGAGAGAAACAGACAGACAGACCGCACCTGGCAGTGAAAGTGGAGGCTAGAAGGGGACACACTACCCCCTTGAACACACACACACACACACACACTCTTAATAAAATACTTTCAATACAAATCCTTATGACTAATTTGGCTTGATTCTAAGTGAACGGGTCAATTTGACCCTGAACAGAAGAGGTGTCTCGTCTCTATTTATCAACATCAACCAATTAGAAAAAAAGTTGGAACATTTTTAAAGTAATTTAAAAAATGTTATGTTATGCAAAACTAATGTATTTTATATCAAGGTTTTTCCAATGTAAAAAAGAAAATAGAAAAATGTGTTTGAATGTATATGTTTTGTGAAAAACGAGTGACTTATTCTAATGGAACCATGATCTGTGAGAGGTGAATAACACAATTGCACTAAATATTGATTTCATTGATAGTAATAAAAGGTACAAACTATGTACAAAAAAAAATCTGGATTTTGGGGCTTCTGACCATTTTTGGATAATTAAACATGCACTGGGTCAAATTGACCCACGAATATTATTGCTGTTACAAAAAACGAATATAACAGGAGGACGAGTGTAATGTGGAACGTTAATATAGCTAACATTAGCTAACAAGGTACACTCTCGTGTTTTGTTTTAGCAACTAGTTTTCTATGTACCTTGTCCTTGCCAACACTAATGTTATCCACAGCATACACAGCGATCACGCAGTTCTTAACGAGAAAACTAGTTGCTCAAACAAAACACAGGAGTGTACCTTGTTGGCTAGCTGACATTAACGTTACACATTACACTCGTTTAACACTCACCTTGGCTCTTACGGAACCGACTAACTCCCCTTTTGTGTATATACTAGGGCTGTCAGTCGATTACAATATTTAATCGCGATTAATCGCATGATGTCCATAGTTAATCGCGATTAATCGCACATCTGTTCTAAATGTACCTTAGAGGAATATTTTTCAAGTTTGTAATACTCTTAACATGAGTGGACAAATATGCTTTATGCAAATGTTTGTTTATTATCATTGGAACAATGACAAATATTCTCCTGAATATTCTCAACACAACAACCTCTGAACAATGACAAATATTCTCGTGAATATTTTCAATACAACAACCTGGAACCTCTCTCTCTTACACTCTCTCCCAACCCTGTCTACTTCTTTGCACTGAGCCAGTTGCTCAAACAGACAAGCCTGTTTACAGTTGTCGGCGAATTACCGCTCCTCTGTCTTCATCTTCAGTCAAAGCATGAGACGTTCCCACTGTGGGTCAAAATAATGCGCTGTGATGTGCAGTTGGATGCGATCCGAATTATCTAACGCAGCCCCTCGTCCTCCACAATGTTAAGCTGTAGCCACCCATTTAGCTATCGCTGTTAAAAGCTTGATGCTCGTAGAAGTGTCCAGGCGTCTCCCCGACAAACTTTCAAGGGTGGTCTGCCGCAAGCGAGCGGCAGGAGCGGGGCTGTCAGCATCAGCTGTGTGCTTGGCTTGCTGTTTAAAACACATTTTTTTTGTATCCATATCTCTCGCTAGAATCTCCCACCATCCAACTAACAACAACAACAACGTCAAGCCTTTGGGCTCTGAAACTACGGGGCGGGCCGAGGACAAATACACATGCGTTAATCGCACGTTAAAATAATTAGTGGCGTTACATTTTTTTGCGTTAACTTGACAGCCCTAGTATATACAGCTCTCAACATGCCCAGACTTGTAGTGATTTTCTCCCCGTTTAATACTTTTCGCCTCATTCTGAAAGAAAGAGGTGAAATGTGCTAACGTGACGGCCAGCTTGGTGTTGATGACGTGTGTTGTGCGAGACCAGAGATTTAGTTCCTTGAGCGGTTTCACACAAAAAAGTGTTACTTCTCAATAGAGCCGAAGTCCCTCCCTTTCCGGTGGACCTCCATGGGACCTTATTTCGGAAAAATTATGTATTGAAGTCAATGGCGAGAGAAACGATCCCGTTTATCTTTCGATCCCGTTTGAATTGTGCCACGAATTACACATATGATGTTGGTCAATTTAAAAGATAATTTTGCAAGTAAAAAAAAAAAAATGTTTTGCCGTAAAACTGCGAAATAAGACTTTTTTTTGGTGTGAAACCGCTCAATGAACTACATCTCTGGTCTTGCACAACAACACACGTCACCAAGATGGCCATCACTACTGTCTTGCCAAACAAGGGATTGACTACTCTCACTATCACCACAATGAAACAAGTCCAGAAGAATGTCATGCAAAGCTGCCTGCCTGCCTGCCTGCCTGCCTTCCTTCGATTCTCCCTGAACTGCCTGATCTTTTTAATGTTCACTGTTAACCATTTGTGCAGATAGCATGAAGTAATAAAAGATCACCGATGCTAATGTAGCGTTAGGATGTCTCCCTCGGGGGCATCCGGGCTTAAAGGTGTATTATAGAATGATCACACCGGTGTGACAGTACTCTTCAAAGGGTTCACGAAATATGACTACTACTCTACTGTTTAACACTTTGGTTAACTTAAAGGGGACCTATCATGCAAAATGCACTTTTGTACGTCTTTTATACATGAATATGTGTCCCCGGTGTGTCAGGGAACTCACCAAGTGTCAGAAAATACAACCCTCTCTTTTCCTCCATACCCAAATCTCTAAAAACGGGGCTGCAACGGATCTGATACAGACTGATACAAATTTGAAATTGTTCTGACGTCAGAAACGGGGTGCTCCGCCTATATGGGCAACTCTCCACCTATCAGGGGAATGAGAGGTTGTGTGGCATGGTAACATGACGCTCGTGCCTCGCCCCCCTCCTTTGCAGGGGGGTGTGGTCAGCTGCAGCTCATTTGCCACAGAATCAGCCCTTGTGAAGACAGGGCTGGAATAGAGCAAATGGAGCGAAATGAGGCATGGCTAAAATGCATGATCTGTTTGGTATTTTGAAAAAAAACTTCACAGACATGTTTTATATAGGTATGGCCCTACAATATATTATTCAAATATAGCATGATAGGTCCACTTTAATGTTACTTCATGTTAAGGCTAATAAAAATGACAAGGCTAAGCCGGCTGTAATGCTAACTAACGTGCTTGCTACTAGTTAGGTAGCTAACTTGATCCAGCCAGCCACTCCTGGTCCTTTCATCAGGCGGGAAGCGAAAGAACGAGTAAGACCCATTGCTGGTATGATTACAGCCTGGTACAAAGCACACAGGCATATTGTTAAAGCTATCTTAGCTATCTCTTATATTTAGTGGAGGAAAACAATTATGACATCACTTACGTGACTCTGGGATTTGTAGTCTTTCTAGTTGCGTATTTTTCATAGTCTTATATCAACAGTTTTACGACAAACTCTGACTTTTTTTACATGGAAATTATTTTTTAAGATTGACAAACATCATATGTGTAATTCATGGCATAATTCAAACGGGATCGAAAGATACGTTTTCTCTCCCCATTGACTTCAATACATAATTTTTACGAAATAAGGTCCCATGGGGCGGAAGTAGAAGGGCGGGACTTCGCCTCTCTATAGTTAGGTTAGGCACACTACTCCACTCTAACTAACCACTCCTTAAAAAGGTTTATGCTTTTATCTGGCATAGCACGCATTGCCAACCCCCATGCTGATCTGATCATTATTGTTAGCAAATCATGTAGTAAAACACCTATGTAATGCTGTAGATATATGTATGCGTGTCAAATGCCACGGGTAAATTAATCTAGTGTAACAGCTGTTTTAATATACATTTAGAAAACGTTGTTTTACTGTCCCTTCTGGAAAGTACGTGCGTGGTTGTGCTCCGGCCAGACTGATCATGTTGTCTTTTGTTTATTTAATGCGTCATATCTAGATGGGCAGATTAGTTACATATTAACTACTGGCTTGGAAATTATGAGTCAAAAGTTGAACCTGGTCATGATGCTGTCAATTTAATTTAGCATTTGTTTTTACATTAATGATATTTACATGTCCAATTTTTCTCTAGGCAATCGCAGCTGCTCAGAGACGTGGGCAAGACGTTGAGACATCCAAGAAATGTAAATTTATACTTTTTGTACTAGATAATTATAATTTCCCAGAAAGCAAAACATGAAAAACATTGAATTAATTTAACAGCTTAAGCCATCATAATGCTGTTTATGCAGGTCTTTCACCTTTGATGATGCCTCAACATTATGTGTGACCCACTGCTTGTCTCACAGGGTCTGCGGGGCAGAATAAACAGCACCTCGTGACAAAGAACACATCCAAATTGGACCGGGAGACAGAGGAGCTCCATCATGAACGCGTTCCCCACGAGGTGGGCAAATACATCCAGCAAGGCAGAGGGGACAAAGGTCTGACCCAGAAAGACTTGGCCACTGTGAGTATACAAACTTCTCTGGGTGTATAAAACTTGTATGTTAGTGAATCCAAAGTTTGCAAAAAAATCAAGATAAAGCTAATAATATTAAACAAATCTCCACACATTACAATAAGATTACTGATGTGCAGCTCCAGTTAGCATAACATCATCCAGGGGTTAAAGCCAAGAATGTACAAGTAGCAGTATAAGTAGCTGCCTCTTATTGAATTGATAACTTAGCAAAGACATAGACTTAAAGGTCACCTATTATGCAAAATCCACTTGTTCCTGTCTTGTATACATAAGCATGTGTCCCCTCTGTGTAAAGAGATTCTGGAAGATTCAGGAAAAAAGATTCGCTCTTTTTGTCAGGGCTCGAGCTTAAGGACGTCCCGTCGTCCCGGGGCCGAAAAAAATAGGGTCGGGGAGGATAAAAAATAATCTTGGGACGAATTTGGGACGAGAGTTAAAATAAAAATACCCTGATAACTCTACTACAGTACGAACGGCGATGAAAATGAAACTGACTGCACGTTTTGTGTAGCACACAGTTATTAAACCTCCTTGTCAACATAAACACACACGCACAAAACATTTAGCAAACCGCGAAATACACACACACACACACACACACACACACACACACACACACACACACACACACACACACAGCTGTGCCCGCAAACTCCTGGCCCGCAAATTATTGGGTCTAGCTATGTACTGAGTGTGTGTATTTCGCGTTGAGTGATGTACAATGACAATGGCATCCCGTGGAGGAATTCTGCAATTGTTTACGTTACATCACGAAAACGCACAGCAGAACCTAACCCTGGAGCGCCGGCCTCTTTATTTACTAACTCCTCTTCATCCCCTATGGGTAATAAGGCTGAGATGAGAACTCTCCATCGTATTTAGTCCTTAGCAATATGCTGCGTCTCTCCCCATGTAGGGATGGGTACCGAGCCCCGGTATTAAACGGGCCCCGGGCCGGAATTATTAAAGACAGTGGTAGCGTTAAGCTCCGACGTTATCTGACTTTTTATCGGTAGTGGAGACATTTAAAACATATATGTCATGTATTATTGCTACATGAACATTATATCGCAGTTTTAGTTTCGCCAACTCCGTTTCTAATATGCAATAAGTCTACAAAATGCGTCTATGATGTATTTTCGATCTTATTTTCGATCTTTCCAATCCAGACGAGAGAGCTCTCTCCCCCGTCTGTGTGCGAGGGGGCGGGGCAGTTTGTAAAGGTCTCCTGACTGTGTTACAGACTGTCATCCTGGTTAGTGGTTACTCTGGGTTCTGTCTTCTGTCTTCAGGACAGAGTGTTGGATGTTTTTGATAATTGGATAGAACTTGATTGGATTCAATATTAGAGTAACTTTCTCGCTTGTGTGTTTTTTTTAAATATATTTGGCCTTTGTTTATGTGTTTGACTGATTTACTCAATTAAAAAGGTTGATGAATTATCATCTAATGATTTGTATGATGTTTTATTTATGTTAAAGGTCACTTTGAATGATTTTAACTAATGATAATGTAGAAAAACTAATATTTTAAATTCGGGACGGTCCACATTAATTTCGGGACGGCTTAGATTGTATTTCGGGACGGTTCCGGGAGGATGGTGAAAGAAGTTAGCCGAGAGCCCTGCTTTTTGTCCTGATCCATTTATATAAACCTGTCTGAAAATCAGCTGATCAGATTTTGGCCGCTTTATGATGTCATAACGATTGTTTGGCTTGTAGCCAATAACCAACCAAGGGGAGTGGCTCCGTATTTGAATTTAAAGTAACAGACAGAGAATCAGCACTTTTGAAACGGGGCTGAAACAGAGGGGATTATGGGATGTTGCAATGCATGATCTGTTTGGTGTTTGGAGCCAAACACTTCAGAGACATGTTTTGTATACATCTGAGACCTATAATATATTGATGAAAAACTGTATAATAGGAGACCTTTAAAATGTATTTTGGGAAAGTATGAATCAATTGCTTTGCACAGTCCTGTTTGAAATGTGATCTTTTCAAACTAAATCCTTTTAGAGTAAGCTCCTTTTTTATCTAACCATCATCCCCTCCTATCACAGTCATTTTCGTTTCAAAATAGGTAATGTTAAGAAATCACATCCACTTTGTTGGTTTCAGTTTTCTTCAACAATGTGAAAATAAATGATGCCCAGCTATGCTTGAGTAGTTTTGCTGGCTGGTGGTTTAACACATTTCTTAATTATTTATGAAAAATCTTCATCCTCAGAAAATTAATGAGAAGCCTCAAGTCATCGCAGACTATGAATGTGGGAAAGCAATTCCAAACAACCAGGTCCTGGGCAAGATAGAGAGAGCAATTGGTAAGAAAAGCATTTGCTAATGATTATGATTCATAAAGTCTCAATTGGCAGTTGTATAACACTTTTACATGTTCTGTCATGAACAGGTCTCAAACTGCGTGGGAAGGACATTGGGCTACCCCTGGAGCCAAAAACCATGAAAAAGTGAAGACAAAGCCTCGAAATCAGCCCTCCCCAGGCCCCTTCTTCCCTTGTCCAAAAACTAGAACCCTTTCCCTACCCTCCTTCCAAGAACCCTTTAAACCCCCCTCCCTACCTTCCTCCCCCCCCCTCCCCCTACCTGGGCTGATCTCACCTGTGTCCTCCCCCAGGACCGGGTTCTCCACTGCATCACCGGCTGCTTACTGAAACTGTTTCTCGACCACATAATCAAATGAATGATCGAACGTATTTTTCAACGTCACTAACTCGGGAGTTCTGTGAATCCGTTTGCTTTGGCTTTGGCATGATGAATTCAACTTTTTAATGTAGACTAATTTAAATAAGTAGAATTATTTTTCATTACCAAACAAACTACTTTGACTCACGTTATTTCTGAGCATGATGATAAGCCAAAAGTGCTCGATTGCATCTTTTTTTTTCACTCACGAGGAAAGAGGGTGGATGTCATTACAGTGTTGAAATGTTTTAATGCTGTGCTTTGTTTTGATCTTTTAAAATAAAGTCTCGCAATTCATGACAGTTCTCTGTGTGCATTGGTGGGTCATGGTCGCACACGGTTTCATAAGAAAAGGTGAAGAGTTTTTAATAATTCCTAAAAAGTTACAAATATTATTTCTTAAATCTGCAAAACATTTAAATCAAACCTGAACATGTTTTACATTTTAAAATGGCTTTTGCTCACTGCCTATAATTGAAGCAACCCTCTACAGTTTTAAGTGTTTTGGTAGCAATAAGAGTTACACACAATATAGGACATAGAAGAGTTTAAATAAGGATAGTTAGAATAACAATAAAAATCTGACATCAAAGATGAATATAATCAAAGTGGTTTAAATATATACAGATATTAATAATTCTGACTGATAAATATATATAGATTAAAATGTTGAAGTGTAAGTCCAGATATGTACATACAGCCTTTCATAGGTAAATATGCAGGATGTTAACCGTTTAAGTTTAAGTTGGAGGTCAATCCTCGACGGGCCCAAAGGAGGTATCCTGAAACAACCTGAAATCTGGATGTAGTAGTAATCTTGATCCACTAGATGTCAGAATACTACCAGGAACATATTGGGAGTGGTCCACTATGTTTGAACCATGGTATACAATGTGTATAGCAGGTTTTGTGCAAGGTTGTGACTTCTTGATGTAAAAGGAGTACATAAAGTGAAAAACTACTTTTTAAACAGTTCTAAAAAATCACATCTTGTTTAAACTTTACATATGCTGGTAAAGGTGCACAATTCAAAGAAAAGGTCCATTGAAACTTGTGGCACTCTGCATAGATGTGTTGAAATGTTTACTTTAGTCTCAAAGGATTAACTATCCTATAATGTTAACATCCTTGCCATTTTCAAATACTCTAAAATGACAGGCCTTGATGAAGCCTTGCTTTCAGCTCTCTCTTTCTCTTCAATGTTCCATTTCCAACATGGGTTATTGATTCAAGAATGACTTTTGCCGGTGGGAGGCTGCCTTCTGTTTTATTAAAGATTCATGGACCTTATTGTTGCAGAATAACAGAAACAACATGAGGGGAGCTGCAAGTGGGACAGACCGCTTTTAAGGGACAGAGGTAAACAGGCACTCCGCTGAGATGAAAAAAGAGCTTTCAGAGGTCAAGCAATGCCAGCATTTAGTTCTACCTCTATCAAGCCCTAATGTGCAATCTCTTGTCTGGTGAGATAACTCCCTGTGGCACACCTGTAGATCAATGTGGTCATAAAAAAAACAGACAGCCGAGCACACCTGCATGTAGCTGTGACTGCACAGTATCTGCTTGTTTTGGGTCCCACAGGGTGCCTGATAACATCACTTCTAACTTTAATTAATTGGAGAGGAATACTGCCATAGCTGTTGATGTTACTGAGTAAGCACAACAACAAGATCACACAATTAATTCAGATATGGAATTCAGCCATCATTCATTTTATACAGATATTCTTAATGTCATGTCAAAATGTTTATTGTGAAAAAGGCCTGGGTAAAGGGACTGACATAAATCATTGTGATACAAATAATCTGCCTAATGCAGTTCCTGTTGCAGTAGGTGCTTCACCGTAGTGGGCACATAGTTGCAGGTCAAACCCTCGTACCAGGAGAGCAAGGACACAGACGGACAATAATCCTAGCTGGTCTACAACGCCATTGACCTCCATTTTGCTGACATATGACATACTAATATAATGAGAAAAGTCAGAGTATAGCATTTCAAAATAATAACAAAAATAGTCATAGTATAGTATGTTGAAATACATGAGAAAACCTCAGTATAGTATGTCCAGAAAAAAGTCATAGTATAGCATTTAGAAAAAATATAGAAAACGTCATAGTGTAGTATATCAAAAAAAAATCAGTTGAATATTTCGAAAAAAGTCATAGTATAGTATGTTGCAAAATTGTTTATAATAGTTATTGAATAGTATGGCAAATCAAGTCATAGTTTAGTATGTTGAAAAATAGGAAATAAATGGCATATAGTAAGTTGAAATAGTCATAGTATAGTATGTCGAAATGTAAGTATTGTCACAAAAAGTGTCTCAAAAAGTTAATCATATAATTAAAAGTAATTAAAAGTCATAATATATAAAAAAGGTCACAAAGAAGTCATAGTGTGCTATCATGATGAATAAGTAATTGTACAGGATTTCATAAAAAAAGTAATGGAATTGAAAACATGTCACAGTATAGTATGGTATGCAACCTCCTGACCTGTGTTCACTGAAAAAGAAGGAAGCCTTGCTGTCTTTCAGATTCTCATTCAACAGGCTGCTTCACCCAGTGTGTGTGTGTGTGTGTGTGTGTGTGTGTGTGTGTGTGTGTGTGTGTGTGTGTGTGTGTGTGTGTGTGTGTGTGTGTGTGTGTGTGTGTGTGTGTGTGTGTGTGTGTGTGTGTGTGTGTGTGTGTGTGTGTGTGTGTGTGTGTTGTGAACGAGAGAGGGGTACGGAGACTCACTGCGTTCCTGGAAATGCCGTTCCATTGGTCAAAACACCATAGCAACATAGTTCCACCTATGACAACGGAGCAGCCAGCGGTTTTCAAGGAGCGATGTGGAGCAGAAAGCTACATGGTGGAGGATTTGGGGAGGGGATTGGAAGTCTGTGGTCTGGTTTGGCCTGAGGCGCCGAAATTGAGATTCCACAACACGTCCAACCTGTTGTGTTGCTCCTTGCAAAGCCTCTCCGTCTCCCATGCAACAGCAGATGCTTCTTTTTCAAGCGTTGTTTGGCTGTTTCTCATTATTCTTTTCCTGGTTCAATAAATTGCTTTAATCCCTGCACAAAAGGCTACTGCATTTTCTGTATATTCACTGGTGGGTACAGCGTTTTTTTTTATCCTGCATTCACAATAGATGCCACACTGCCTTGCATAATCAATTTATTCAAAACAGAGTAAAACAAGACACATAACAAAGTCTAAGTTACTTTGTATGCAGTAGTGCTCATGTTGTACATCCAAATAACACCTAAGACTTTCTTTCACACAACATGAGGACACGACTCAAACAAAGCCCTCATTTCCTGTTAAGGAAAAAATAAATACATAATTTTGTCTTCATGTAGGAGTGTAAAAGTTTCGCAGGCACAGCTGGTAATTCAAACTCAATATTAAGCCCAATGATGAAATACAAAAAAAGATCAAAACACCAGATTATACTGTGAGAAAATATATGCACAGTTTATTGATAGATGCAAATAGGTGAGGCACACACAAAATAATTCTAATCAATAATGTATTAGTTGTGAGTTCTGACCACGTGTTTTTTCTGCAACATTAGGAACATCAGTCGGGCTGAAACCTGGTGCAGGCTGTAAAATTCTTGACTTTATTAGGAAATTCTTTGTCCAGATAATATTCCCATGAACTCGAGGCCTTCTCTGCAGCCTTCATGGGACGCAATATGCAAAAACAAACAACTGGATAATCCACAAATGAAAATAAACAGAGACATTCCAGTGACTACTACAGGATAACAAATTATTTCATAAATAGATTTTTAACTGCTGCTCTTATTCATGGCTTTTTAAGACCTGCTTGGGCTCATTTTCTAATATCATCTACAAATCACTGTACAAAGTTGTTTCGGGAACATTCGGTGAAAGGCCAGTTTCACAAAGGACGAACGATCGGCAATATTTACATTTGGAGTCACTGTAACATATACAAAGAACAAAAAGGCACTGCGACAAATGTCAAAACATTGAAATATATACTAAAAGTAAGAGTAAGGTCAAACTGGGCATCCATTCAATAGAACATACGCTAACGTTGCCAATACTTTTGTCAATCCAATTCATATTGAGACACACACATTGCTGTCTAACAAAACGTATGCAACTAGTACACCAGTGTAACTTTCTGTGGATTTGGTTAAAGAAAAGTTTGTATTGTTTACACAGTATACAGTACAGCACTATGTGCCCATGAAAAAACATGACGGAGAAGGTGCAACAGTGTAAGTCTGCTAGTGACCTCACATCTTTTTTTATTTATTCAAAGTTAGCTGCACAGTTATTTAGACACGACACAGCATTACTCTGCAAAGCTAGCTGACGTTATGAATGGTTAGCCTCTTCTTATCGGGTGAGATGTCTTTTATTTGAATAAATACTCACAATACAGTGTCAAACATGAAACTTTGGTAAGTGTATTATCGGATTATGCATACTGTCCATATTGATCAAAGCGATTTTAGTCGATAAGTGAATGTTTAATGATGTTGTCCGTCATGTCTGACTGTTACAAGAATATTTAGAAATAGTTAACAGGTAATGTCTTTGCCATGTTGCACGTCTGTAGCAGGATCGTGTTTGTAAAAGAGTGGACGGTTAGGTTGATGCATGGCTCTTCAGCATGCAGCGCAAACAGGTGGGCAGGTTCACAGTGTCTCCCATCCATAGTGTCTAGACATTACCTTTGTTATTGGTCTTTCTCATACACACATTCACGCATGACTTCTAATCAACTCACACACCTTTTAAAGTGGACATCACTTCAGTGAGTAGAGCAGCTCCGCAGTGTGGCAGAGAGACAGAGGGTGAGCCGAGGAAAAGTACTGACAGCAGAGCCAGTCCTCCAGCTCTGCGTTCCTCTCGGGCTCCAGGGAGCGCTCTGCGAACTTCATCATCAGCAGGGCCCGCTTCACGTCCAGCCAGTTCAGGAGACCCTCGTGTCGGGCTCCATCAACAAAGCCGACCCCCTGTCCCTGCCTCTCTCGCTGCTGCTGCTCCATCAGGTCCTTCCGGGGGCCCCACAGCAGGCTCTGCAGGATGCGCTTGGCCTCCTGGATGTGGATGCGTTTGATGGGGTCCGGTTGGAGCAGGAGCTGCGCCAGCCTCTGGAGGCCGGCGGAGTAAAGGGACACGGAGGGGATGGGGGGCAGCTCCTCGCAGCGGTAATCTTGTTCCTTCAGAGCTGGACTCACCTCAAAGGGGTTGGCTTGGTGGAGGAGTTCGTAGATCAAGATGCCTGTCTGGAACTCGTCGAATTTCCGATACTGGGCCGCTGACACGATCTCA